GAGACTCAAGGCAACGGAGGTATGGTTCTACAGAAGGATGCTAAGGATATCATGGACCGAGCGAGTGAAGAACGATCAGGAAAGGAAAGAAAGAAGAAGGTAGGGAAGGAAGTAAGAAAGGAAGGAAGGAGAGGGTGGAAGGAAGTAAAGAAGTAGGGAAAGAAGGAAGGAAAGAGGGAAGGAGGGCCGTAAGGATGGAAGGAAGAAATTACAAAATCTCCTACAGAAGGTGGCGACGAAAAGTGTGAAGAAGGGACTAAGCATAAACTACAAAACAGAATGCATGGTTATCAGTAAAATAAGATGAGCCTTAAATGTAATTTTTAGGTCGAGGACACTAAAATCAAGAAGGTGCGGAATTTTAAATATCTTTGAAGTGTTTTGACAGTCAGTAAGAGATCCGTAGACGTATTGGGAAGGCCATGGAAGCATTTGAAAAGCTGGGTAGGGTATTACGAGACAGGAGGATTACTTTGGTAACAAAGAAAAGAGTACTGAGCTTCTACGTCACACCTGTCCTTCTTTACGGCAGTGAATGCTGGACGGTCTCCTCAAAGATGAAGAAGAGACTCGAGGCAACTAAGATCCGAAGACATATTGGGATGGCTAAGGACGCATTCCAAAAGCTGAGCAGAGTATTACGAGACAGGAGGATTTCTTTGGTAACGAAGAAAAGAATACTGAGCTGTTACGTAATATCTGTCCTTCTTTACGCCAGCAAATGATGGACGGTCCACCCAAGATGAAGAAGAGACTCGAGGCAACTAAGATCCGAAGACGTATTGGGATGGCCAAGGACGCATTCCAAAAGCTGAGCAGAGTATTACGAGACAGGAGGATTTCTTTGGTAACGAAGAAAAGAATACTGAGCTGTTACGTGATATCTGTCCTTCTTTACGCCAGCAAATGATGGACGGTCCCCTCCAAGATGAAGAAGAGACTCGAGGCAACTAAGATCCGAAGACATATTGGGATGGCTAAGGACGCATTCCAAAAGCTGACAGAGTATTACGAGACAGGAGGATTTCTTTGGTAACGAAGAAAAGAATACTGAACTGTTACGTGATATCTGTCCTTCTTTACGCCAGCAAATGATGGACGGTCCACTCCAAGATGAAGAAGAGACTCGAGGCAACTAAGATCCGAAGACGTATTGGGATGGCCAAGGACGCATTCCAAAAGCTGAGCAGAGTATTACGAGACAGGAGGATTTCTTTGGTAACGAAGAAAAGAATACTGAACTGTTACGTGATATCTGTCCTTCTTTACGCCAGCAAATGATGGACGGTCCCCCAAGATGAAGAAGAGACTCGAGGCAACTAAGATCCGAAGACGTATTGGGATGGCTAAGGACGTATTCCAAAAGCTGAGCAGAGTATTACGAGACAGGAGGATTTCTTTGGTAACGAAGAAAAGAATACTGAACTGTTACGTGATATCTGTCCTTCTTTACGCCAGCAAATGATGGACGGTCCACTCCAAAATGAAGAAGAGACTCGAGGCAACTAAGATCCGAAGACATATTGGGATGGCTAAGGACGCATTCCAAAAGCTGAGCAGAGTATTACGAGACAGGGGGATTTCTTTGGTAACGAAGAAAAGAATACTGAACTGTTACGTGATATCTGTCCTTCTTTACGCCAGCAAATGATGGACGGTCCCCTCCAAGATGAAGAAGAGACTCGAGGCAACAAAGATCCGAAGACATATTGGGATGGCTAAGGACGCATTCCAAAAGCTGAGCAGAGTATTACATTTCTTTGGTAACGAAGAAAAGAATACTGAACTGTTACATATCTGTCCTTCTTTACGCCAGCAAATGATGGACGGTCCTCCAAGATGAAGAAGAGACAGGCAACTAAAGATCCGAAGACGTTTGGGTTGGCCAAGGACACATTCCAAAAACAAAGAAAACATTAGGGATTTCTTTGGTAACAAAGAAAAGAGTACTGAACTGTTACACCTGTCCTTCTGGAATGTTGGACTGTCTCCTCAAAGAGGAAGAAGAGACTCGAGGCAACGTAGATATGGTTCTACAGAAGGACAGTAAGGATGTCATGGACCGAGCGTATGAGCAACGATGAGGTTTTGGAGAGGTTGCAAAAAAGGAGGAAGCTTATACTTAACATCAGGAAGAGGCAGATGAAATTTCTGAGACACGTAATGAGAAAAGAAGAGACTCAAGGCAATGGAGGTATGGTTCTACAGAAGGATGCTATGGATATCATGAACCGAGCGTGTGAGCAACGATGAGGTTTTGGAGAGGATGCAAACAAGGAGGAAGCTTATACTTAACAACAGGAAGAGGCAGCAGAAATTTCTGGGACATGAATGAGAAAAGAAGAGACTCAAGGCAATGGAGGTATGGTTCTACAGAAGGATGCTATGGATATCATGAACCGAGCGTGTGAGCAACGATGAGGTTTTTGGAGAGGATGCAAACAAGGAGGAAGCATACTTAACATCAGGAAGAGGCAGCTGAAATTTCTGGGACATGTAATGAGAAAAGAAGAGACTCAAGGCAATGGAGGTATGGTTCTACAGAAGGATGCTATGGATATCATGAACCGAGCGTGTGAGCAACGATGAGGTTTTGGAGGGATGCAAACAAGGAGGAAGCTTATACTTAACATCAGGAAGAGGCAGCTGAAATTTCTGGGACATGTAATGAGAAAAGAAGAGACTCAAGGCAATGGAGGTATGGTTCTACAGAAGGATGCTATGGATATCATGAACCGAGCGTGTGAGCAACGATGAGGTTTTGGAGAGGATGCAAACAAGGAGGAAGCTTATACTTAACATCAGGAAGAGACAGCTGAAATAACTGGGACACGTAATTAGAAAGAAGGGCCTAAAGAATCTGATACTCACAGGTCGAAAATAGGAAAAAAGAGACAAAGGAAGGCAACGCATGACATACCTGGCGGGCTTGAGCAAGTGGATGACAGAATGTGGTCTGGCAGAGGTAACACGAGAGAAATAAATGGCATAAGAAGGAAGCGTTTACTTAGGAATTAATTAAAATATTAATGACTGAAAGGGCAATAAATTGACCTTCTTTACGGCAGCGAATGTTGGAAGATCTCCTCAAAGAGGAAGAAGAGACTCAAGGCTGTGGAGATGTGGTTCTACAGAATGATGCTAAGGATGTCATAGAGCAAGCGTTTGAGCAATGATGAGATCTTGGAGAGGATGAAAACAAGGACGAAGCTTATAATTAACATCAGAAAGAGGGAGCTGAAATTTCTGGGACACGTAATGAGAAAGAAGGGCCTGGAGAATCTAATACCCACAGGTCGAATAGAGCGACAAGGGAAAGCAACGCATGACATAACTAGCGGTCTTAAGCAAGTAGATGACAGAACAGGGCCTGGGAGAAGTAGCAAAGGGACAAAACTTATTGAGAGATACAAGGGGTAGGAGGAAGTGGAGAGCCATGATCGCCTATGTCCTGAAGGGACACGGCATATAATGGTCAAATAGCGGGAAAGAGAGACAAGGGAAAGCAACGTATGACATACCTGGCGGTCTTAAGCAAGTGGCTGACAGAACGTGGCTTGGGGAGGGGAGTAACAAAGGGACAAAACTTAGAGCTACAAGGGATAGGGAGAAGTGGAGAGCCATGATCGTCTATGTTCTGAAGGGACACAGCACGTAAAAAGAAAGAAAAAAAGGTGCGATAGTTATGCGATAGTTATTTACTAAACTTATTATAGGCTGAGAACGTAGACACCTGTGGCGGACATGAGACAGAACCTGGGACAAGCACAACTGGTCGCGACTTGCCTTGTCCCCGCCAAAAAAGAGCCCGTATTTGCTTAGCATGTAAAGCTACTGCAGTTGAAATGAGGGAGAGAAAAAAAGCACTTACCGCTCTGACGTAATCCATCCTCGGCCAGATAATGTAAAAGAATGAGGGGGACTGGCATCGCATTTTATCCAATAACGATGCAATGCATTATGGGACATGGACGCAATGCATTATGGGACATGGACGCAATGAATTATGGGATCACAGGAAGACGCAAGGGATTATGGGTACATGAACAACTATAAAAACAACTACTTTTTTCCAAGTCGGCGAGTTCTTCGAGGGACGTTCACGGTTGACGGGCAGTTAGTGTGATTTGGAGACAGAACTCAGGAAGGAACGACTCAAGTTTGAAATACCAGCTGGGAGAGCTTGAATTTACTCGCTGGTTACTGTTTTCTTCATTCGCCTCGAACTGTTTTTTACGGATTATCCACCCTTTTTCAGATTATTTAAAGTTAGGAAATATTTTAGATTGTTAGAACTACTTTAAGATAATACACCTTTGTGCAAATTAATTGAAACAACTGCTTTAGCTTCCTTTCTTTCAACATACGGTTTGGAGTGACAGGGTGTAATCGATTTCTATTTTTTCCTCAGATTAGGTAATTTGCAGTGGTGTGCAGTAATATGAATCTATTTTCGGGGTGTAAGATGGAATTTGTTTGGTCTTGAAAAATATTGCGTCATCCGTGATAGCATCATATTTTTATCACGCCCAAACACTATTCTCTCGACTGTTGATTAGTTGTCCTACAGTCATTGTTTACGATGAACATTACTTCAAAGAAGTGTACGAAAATTTGTAACGCTACACGAACACACTGGCAAGCTTTACCAGTGAGCAAATCAAAGAACAAAGAAACTGAGAAACTTTCCTGATTTAAATCCAATCTAGAATCTGTGGTCAATCTGCAAGGAAAGACTTCGTGGAATGGACATACGAAGTACTAATATGTGCACTAAGTCATGTTTCATTGGAAAAACACGAAAAAAAGGAAATAATAACGGAATTATTCGTTTTGTTTCAATTAATTTGCACAAGGGTATAATGATTTATTAATACATGCCCTACTAATTAACCCATACCTGGGGGAGAATGGACGGATTTTTACCTTTCCCAAGAGTAAATGGATGTAACGAATCTGACTGGAATTGGAACTCGGTTCTCCGATTTCTAACCAACAGAACATCTGGTATTGCCAAGCAGTCACCCATCTAGGTACTGGCCAGGTTCAATGTTGCTTAACTTCAGTGATCGTACGAAAACCGGTGTTTCAACGTGAAACCGAAAGTCCAATGAGGATCGAAGACATTATGATTATAGTCTGGGGGATTAAGTTGCTAATCTCTGCTGTGCAATGATGCACCCGACTTATTTAATATTTATTAAACTTAGCATTTTTTTTAAATGTCGCTTCACAACGTAAGCGGTCACGGCTCTCCACACAGCTATTTTCCTTATTATTTGTGTATTTTGCTGATTTCTTGGGAGTGATAGTGAACTCTCTCTGTTTGGGAATTACGAATTTTCCTTTACTTAGACTGATTGCCACCTAACGCTAGAAAGCCCAACCAACGCTGCTATTAAACCCATAGCTTGGGGGGGGTGGGGAAGAGACAGATTTGCGCTTTTCCCAAGGCACATTCGTACGAAAGGGAACGCTGTAGGCTAGACTGGAGTTTGAACTCGGCTTGCCAAATCCAATTTACACGCTGATATCTGTTGCTCTCCTCCGACATCGTCGGGTCTGGTCACGGTTTCTCATTGTCACCTTGCCACTGTAGGCTTAAAACCAAAGGGCGTATGAACATTCTTGTCGGGTCAACGGCCAGCTTAGCACCATGGAATAGACTGGGTTCGATTGCTTCTATTGTAGAGTGACGACGCGGCTTCACTAGGCAGGGGGAGCTTTCTAGATTGAAATCAAGGACTAAGACGGAGGATTCTTATCGATGGAAGCAACGGCTACGTGTAACCGTAAACAAAGCAAGACTCGACATTGGAGGACATTAGCTATGGTTTTGATCTAAAGAGAAATGGTCTCCTTCAGGTCTACTCACTGCAAACACGAATGAATATCACTCCGGCTATCAACCCGGATATATGAAGTGAACTGGCCAGGCGCTCAGCTGCACAATGACCCTACAACCACACTCAGTCATGGAACGGAGGTTGGTGATATGGTTACTTTGGTACGCATTCGCAATAGGCGAGTCCAGTGCCTATCGAACTCGTCACGACAGTAATAGTAGGCGACTACGATAGGTATACCCCCACACTAAGATGACCAAGTGAGTTGTTAATCTTAATTAAGTCGGTGGCAGGGTGTGACATAACTTCAGTTTAATGAAGAGTACTTACATTGTTATATATAGGCCAAGGAAAAAAAACTAAGTTTGGCACAACGCCAAAATATCTGAGGGCGAACAACAGGTTAAAATCAGTACATTATTAATAGTCGGCTAATCTTCTAACCGTTGCACAAAGATATCTCATGGGCATATACTAAATCTGGCTCAGGGTCAACTGTTCAGAGCAAAAGAAAGAGAAAACAAATAAACAGGTAAAAAATAAGGGAAGAAGAAAAAGAAAAAAAATAAAACAAAGAAAAAAAAACAAATAAATAAGAGAAAAGTAAGAACGAAAGAAAGTAAAAGCGAAGAAATGAAAAGAAAAAAGTTAAAAACGACGAAACCGAATTAAAAAAAGAAAGAAAGAAAAACAAACAATATAAAAAGAAGAAAGAAAGAAAGAAAGAAAAGGTAAGAATAAAGAAAGGAAAAATAGTAAAGATAAAAACGACGAAAGGAAGAAAAAGATGAAGAAATGCAAAAGAAACAAAGAAAGAATGAAGAAAAACTAGTAAAGATAAAAGCGACGAAGGGAAGAAAAAGAAGAAGAAATATAAAAGAAAGAAAGAAAAGAAAAAACAAACAATATGAAAAGAAAAAAGAAAGAAAGAAAGAAAGAAAGAAGGTAAGAATAAAGAAAGGCAAAATAGTAAAGATAAAAACGACGAAAGGAAGAAAAGAAGAAATATAAAAGAAAGAAAGAAAAGAAAAAACAAACAATATGAAAAGAAGAAAGAAAGAAAGAAGGTAAGAACAAAGAAAGAAAAAATAGTAAAGATAAAAACGACGAAGGGAAGAAAAAGAAAAAGAAGAAGAAATATAAAAGAAAGAAAAACGATCAGACATTATTTACTTCTCTTCCCCATTGATATTTCCAAACTTGGTTAATATTTACTAAGCTTCGCTCAATCTGGGACCGGGTTATGTACCTGAAACACTCGGTGAGGCTCGAAATCATTAATAGTCGTCTTCCACAGAACACTAATGCTGAATATAATTGGTTCATAGTCTGCGTCACGTGATTCCTTATTATTTTCCGCAATGATGCGGCCATCTTGATTAACACTTAACTAAACTTAATCCGTGACCAGACCGTATCTGTCACACTCAGTGAGGCTCGAACTCACTAATGATCACTGATACAAGGACGCCACTGTTCCTTGACGAGATGCGCCCGACTTAATTGATATTTACTAAGATTAACTCAGTCTGGGACCTTAGTAATGATCGAACTCGCTACATGAGTTTTTATGTGCTCGGCTAGTTTATAAAATATCCTACAACGGGGATGTGTTCTAACTACAATATATCAACGGCTTCAGTGATAATAATAAGATGCGATATTGGAATCAAAAGATGATTTTAAATCAATATTATCAATGGCCGAATAATATACATCTGATCGAAAAATATTTTTGCCATTATATGTGTAACTCCAGGGCAATCCATAGGAGCTGACAAGAGAGAGAAACACACACACACAAAAAAAATCTTCTGCTTCAATACTGGATGAAAAAAAAATAAACAAAAATGATTGGTTGAAAAATAAAATTTTAAAAAAATGAAACAAAAGAAAATTTTTTAAATGAAAAAAGAAAGAAAACAACAAGAAGAGGATGAAAATAAAATAAACGAAGATGGTTGGTTGAAAAATAAAATAAAAGATAAAAAGGAAATAGACAAAGATGATTGGTTGAAAAATAAAATAGAAGATGAAATGAAAATAAACAAAAATGATTGGTTGAAAAATAAAAGAAAATGAAACAAAAGGGAAAATGGCAACTATATAAATGAACATTTTTCGCCACAATAAATTCTTAATCTCGATGTGGAAAGGAGAGATGAATTTAAATAAAAAAAGAAAGTAAGGAGTATAATACAGTTGGAGTAGGAAAACGAGAAGCAAGGAGACAAAATGGATGCGGTGGAGGAATACAAGCGGAAAAATAGTTTGAGGTTAAAAAAAACATTTCAAGAAAAAAGAGTAAAGAAAATTAATATTTGAATAAAGTTTGGAAAGCAATATTGAAATAACGTTTTACGAAATGAGAATTCGAATAGACACGGAAAGTGAAAGAAAAAAGCAAAAAACGTAAAGGGAAGAAAGGAAAAAAAGAGGGAAAGAAAAATGAAAAGGAAACAAATAATCAAGTAAAAAATGAAGGAAGAAAGTGAAAAAGAAATAAGCAAAGTAAAAAAACAAAGATTAGAAAGAGTAAAAGCAACGTAATTGCGAAGAAAGAAAAACGAAAGAATGAAAAAGAAAGAGAAAACAAATAAATAAGTAAAAAATGAAGTAAGAAAAAAAAGGAAAGTAAAGAAAAAATAAACAAAATTAAACAAAGAAAAAACAAATAAGCAAGAGAAAAGTAAGAACGAAAGAAAGTAAAAGCGAAGAAATAAAAAGAAAAAGTTAAAAACGAAGAAAGAAACAGAATTAAAAAAATAAAGAAAAGAAAAACAAAGAATATGAAAAGAGAGAATGAATGAAAGAAAAAAAAACTAGTAAAGATAAAAACGACGATGGGAAGAAAAAGAAGAAGAAATACGAAAGAAAGAAAGAAAGAAAAAACTAGTAAAGATAAAAACGACGATGGGAAGAAAAAGAAGAAGAAATACGAAAGAAAGAAAGAAAGAAAAACTAGTAAAGATAAAAAAGACGATGGGAAGAAAAAGAAGAAATACGAAAGAAAGAAAGAAAGAAAAAGAAAGAAAAAAAGACGATGGGAAAAAAAGAAGAAATACGAAAGAAAGAAAAAAAAAAAAAAGAAAAAAAACGACGATGGGAAGAAAAGAAGAAGAAATACGAAAGAAAGAAAGAAAGAAAAAAAAAAACTAGTAAAGATAAAAAAAGACGATGGGAAGAAAAAGAAGAAATACGAAAGAAAGAAAGAAAACTAGTAAAGATAAAAAATAAAAAGAAAAGAAGAAGAAAAGAAAAAAGAAAACTAGTAAAGATAAAAAACGACGATGGGAAGAAAAAGAAAAATACGAAAGAAAGAAAGAAAGAAAAAAAAAACTAGAAAGAAAGAAGAAATACGAAAGAAAGAAAGGAAGAAAGAAAAAAGATAAAGATAAAAAACGACGATGGGAAAAAAGAAGAAATACGAAAGAAAGAAAGAAAAAAGAAAGAAAACTAGTAAAGATAAAAAACGACGATGGAAGAAAAAAAGAAGAAGAAATACGAAAGAAAGAAAGAAAAACTAGTAAAGATAAAAACGACGACGATGAAAAGAAGAAGAAAGAAAAGAAAGAAAGAAAGAAAAACTAGTAAAGATAAAAAAGACGATGGGAAGAAAAGAAGAAAAAGAAAGAAAAAAAAGAAAAACTAGTAAAGATAAAAACGACGAAAAAAGAAGAAGAAAAAAAGAAAGAAAAACTAGAAAGATAAAAAAGGAAGAAAAGAAAAAGAAATAGAAAGAAAAAAGAAAACTAGTAAAAATAAAAAAACGACGATGGGAAGAAAAGAAGAAGAAAAGAAAGAAAGAAATAAAAAAAACGAAAGAAAAGAATGGGAAGAAAAAGAAGAAATACGAAAAAAGAAAGAAAGAAAAAAATAGTAAAGATAAAAAACGACGATGGGAAGAAAAGAAGAAATACGAAAGAAAGAAAGAAAGAAAGAAAGAAAGAAAGAAAAACTAAAAAGACGATGGGAAGAAAAAGAAGAAAAAAACTAGTAAAGATAAAAAACGACGATGGGAAGAAAAAGAAAGAAGAAATACGAAAGAAAGAAAAAAAACTAGTAAAGATAAAACGACGATGGGAAGAAAAGAAGAAGAAATACGAAAGAAAGAAAACTAGAAAGAAAAACGAAAGGGAAAAAAGAAGAAATACGAAAGAAAGAAAGAAAGAAAAACTAGTAAAGATAAAAAAGACGATGGGAAGAAAAAGAAGAAATACGAAAGAAAGAAAGAAAGAAAAAACTAG